TTTTTTTTTTCTTTTCCATGTACTTTAATTATGTGTAGATTCAATAAAGTGGAAGTCCTCTGGAATAAAGTTTTAGCATTTCTTTACTATATGATAGATGCATCATTGTTTTTTCAGGAGAATAATATGAGGGTATAGTGGGGACAAATACAAATGGTGAGCAAGATCTAGAGTTGAGTATAAGATGCATGCCAACAATGAGACGTGAAAGAATGTTACTTTATACTTTAACGAATTAAATTATTCTTAAATTGGCACATTGATAGTTTTGTATAGTTATTAATATTAATAAAAAAGAAGTATTTTTATTATCCTATCACAGTTATTAAGCCCCAACCTTGGAGCAAACCAAAAATTTGGTTCAAACATGAACCCAACCCAACCGCTAGACTGAGTTTGAGTTGGGTTGTTTGATTGTTTGGGTTAATTTTTTCGAATTATGAAGTTACTGACAGTAGCTGTGGTATTTTCGAATAATTTGCTGAATATCCGAATATTTCAGCAATAATCTCCTATGCATAGTTAGACAATATGGTTGATCGGGAAGAGGAAAGCGTCCACCATTCGTAGAACCGTTCCTGTAACACACCTATGATATGATCAAGTAAAGCAGTCATTGACAACTTACGCGCGTGCTTGAATAGGACACTCATGGACTTAGCGATATTAGTRGTCATCTGTGTGTATCTCAAGTCAATTTGGAAACAACGAGYCCAATGTTCCTTGCCAATGTCGTCCAGATATTCCCTCACACCTGGATATATGCACCAAGTTCGGCCCATATGATGTTGAAATAAGACTCCCCACATGCCTTCGTGGCCTTATAAAATAGTGGCTCAATCGCTTCGTTTTTAAATTTTGTCATCATGTTCATATTAATATGATGTGTACAGAAGCAATGAAAAAGAGGAAATACMTTTTCAACTGCCTTACAAATGGTTGCATGTGGATAAGAAACGAAAACCAAATTATTGACTTCGTCGAGACCACTTCCTATTTGAGTCATTAATCATATCCATGATGCTATAGTCTCACTGCCGACAATCACAATTGCAACCGGGTAAATCTAGTTATTTGCATCCACTGCAGCAGCAAGTAATAATACCCCTTTGAACTTCCCCATCAGTGGCCCCGTCAACGACCAACATTGGCCGAATGCAACCCAGAAAACCTCTAATCGATTGGCCAAAGGCCATAAAAACAAATTTAAAATATTTTGCATCTTCCAGCTCCAATTAAAAAATAGTACATAGGTTCATGATTTTCAAGGCTTCCCCATAAGCTAGTAATAGCCCATACGATGATGTTGGGTCCCCTCTTATAATTCGAAGTACTTCTTCACTTGATCGCTCAATGAGCAATCAAGTYTGGGATAAAAATAGGTGAAATTGTTGGGAACACGATTTAAAAACACAAGGAAAATTGAATTTAGAAAACCAACCCCCTTACCACTGTTTAGTTCTAAAAAGATGAATTACATCTACTAAATGTAACAGTCGCATTATCACTCATTTTATGCAAACTGGTTCAACTCATATTCCATACTGCTTTTGGTTTGTTTAGAAGTTTAGGCTAGTATTTACATATGTCTATGAAATACTAGAATCATAAATTAAACAAACTCCAACTTACATTTAAGGGTAAGAGAGGTCATATCTAGGATCTTATTTTAATTATTATTTCTAAGTAACTTCTTGTTTTACTTTGACGAAATCCGTTTGACTCAAACCTTTTCAGAATTAAATTCAAACTAATGTGATTTAACAAGTGACCAACAGAAAAATCAACTTGATAAATTATATCAATCAAGATAAGCAAAAAGAGCGTAATACGTTGTGCTTATTGATAGACGTAATTTAAAACGAGATGAACTAAATCATTCGTAGGAGGGTTGAAAAAGTAATCTAGCTACTCATGTAAAACAAAAAAAAATGACAGTACAAGAGAAATTAACAAAAGGATGCATTTTCATTAAAATTTGAAAAGAAATACAAAATTAGAACAAATTGAATTGCATTAAAATAAACAAATAACAATTACAAAAATACTTTAAAAAGTAAACAAAAATTCAATGTTGTAGAGAAAACAAAAGGTTGATAAAAACTTAGAGAGGAAGAATAAAAAAGATGAAAGTGTCTTAAACTCTCTTGGAGGCTTCAATTTATAGGCTCGGGGATACCATTTGTTCAGGAATTTATGGGAAGTTGGTAATTAATTTTGTTGGAGAGATCTTAGAATGTTRSACCAAATTTTGGATCAATTGCTTGGTCAAAATAAGTTATTATGCACCGTTTGACAATCTGGGCAAGGTATGCGTCTTGCACRCTTTGGAGCAAGATCTTTCAACAAAAATATGGCTGGCGCATTTTGACAATAAACTAGGAATTTGGGAGTTGTTATGCGTCTGGCGACATTTTGGTCACTAATATTCGATTTTTCCTACAAAACAAACATATTTACATCAATTAACTTGCATACGCCTATATCTAAGTGCCCAAGTCTTTAATCACAAAATACGCACATTTCYGCTAAGTTATATGCATGATCATACACTTTTCATCCTAAATACCCCTCAAATAAGCATGCCAACATATATACTTTTTGGCCTTTAATCCAGGCTTATTAATCGCTATGCTTTGTCATAACTCAAACTRACACCATAATCCTTCCGCGTGTCTTGTATGATGTCATTCGGTCTATATATGTGAAAAACATATGTGAACTTTGATTGGACAAGATGTCTGACTACCCAACTCTTGGCATATCTATGATCCTGTTTCAAAACTCCACAATTGCACTTATGGACAAMAGAGTATTTTTTTAATCTTGAACAGATTGCATTCCTTCAACTTTGTAGCTCAAAGTCTCCACGTGCAACTAGTATATCAATGCACCACAATATATATAGTTTCGACGTCGACTTTTTTACTCAAACTTAGAGAGGAAGTATACATTTACTCAAAACTAAAAATTCATCTGCATTGCAAGTAAATGCATTTTCAAAATCAACTTCTTCTCCGTATCAAATATTTCGTCCTCCTTAACATCGTTAGTCCTAGAAGGTCATACAATGACTCGCAATTTCTCAACCTCAAGCTGTCCGATGAGACTATTACATATCGTTTGCCGCACCGCTTCTTCATCTCTACTAATCTCAGTGTTTACTTGTTACATATCAGGTTCTTCATCAAGGGCATCGTCATCGTTCCCATATTCTRCTTCATCGTCTATTTCTTTCTAACTCTCTCAACGGATCATATGATTCATCACTTTCATCATCCACCTTTTCGTTATCATTCCATTCTCCCACTGCATCCCAATCAGATACTTTGTCATCTCTCAGATTACATGGAACAACATCTTAACTTAATGGTGTTGGCATTGTTATATCATGACCTATATACCTGTAGGAGGGGTGTGGGGGTTGGGAAGAAGAAGGGTTCAATGATGGGAAGGAAATGAGGGTATAGGAAATGTGGGTCTCGGAACTGAGGGTCTTTGAAATGGGGAAATACAAGTCGTGGGCACAGGAATAGAGGATCCGTGTTGGCATATATAATATGGAAAATAASGCATGTACATTCTATTCCCATGTACCTACTTTGGCACGGTAAATATGTATACCGACGACTCAGATACATATTCACCAGTTTTAAAAAAACTCAGGTCATTGTCATCAGTTATCTCCATTACACAAACTTTGGTTTTAAAATGATATACACGTTTAATTATAATATCAAACCGTAGAGGGTTTATATTACTCAATCTATACACGTGACCTAGAAATTCTTCGTATGTGGTTGTAGTATCCACTATCAATCATCTCCTACGACCACCGACATAATCCTTTTCACTATCATTTCATTCTCCACCGAATGTTATAAAAACACTATGCATGCAAATAGAATAATGATAAAACTATGTGAGATAAGAGCAAATAAAAAAAATACGAGAGGTGTTTGGAAACCTTGAACATTGAAGAAAGAAAAAGAAAAAAAAGGATAAAACTAAAAAAAAAGTTTAAAAAAAATCTCTAACAAACTCGGACCAATTTTGGTTTGGGATTAGTCTGGGACATGTCCTGGACAAATCTTAGTTCTGGATTAGTCTGAGACATGTCCCAAACCAAAATTGCACTGGGATTGAAGAACAGGGTCCGGGATTGCATGAAAATTGCACTGGGATTGAAGAACGTTCAATCTCGGTGCAATTTTCATGCAATCCCGGACCCTGTACTTCAATCCCAGTGCAATTTTCATGCAATCCCGGACCCTGTATAGATCTAGAACAATGAATGAACATTGTTTCTTTTTTAAATAAATACGGTCATTCTGATATAAGATAGATAGGAATAAATGCAAATACGTCAAAAATGTGAAATGTTTCAAATAAATTTAGCAATTTTAAAGTAAAAWTGTTGTAAGTTGTAACACATACCTAACTTTTCACAAGTGAAAATGTGGAGACAATGATCAAACACATAGAGAACAATATTTGTTGGGGAGGAATTMAAAAACTTCAATGGTGTTTTGGAGTTGCAAAACATATGTAAAACATGGGTAATTGAGGGTTCATAGAGTTAGGTGAATAGTTAGGTGAAAATTTATTATATCATAAATGTTTATTTATTAACTAYGAGGACAAATTCGTCTTTTCACAATGTTAAAAAATTAAAGGGATTAAAATAAGAGGAAATTGGGATTTTTTACTCTCCTCCTCAATTCCCTCCACCAATCTCTCACCTTAAACCTCACCCTCTCTTAAATTTGAATGTAATATGAAAAAAAAAACTTTTTAATTTAAATAATCGATTATGAATCTAAAAAATCTAACTTTTAAAATTTAAAAATCAATTACAAATTGAAAGAAAAAGGGAAAAATCTATTAAAAAATTGGAATATTAAATATTTAATCGTTTAATACGTAAAATCGAATTCGATATAAATACCTAGATTTAATTATAAAAAATTCAAAATTTCATGAATGGATGGCCCAACTGACGACATAAGCACTCTCCTAGAAGAGGTCAACCGCAACATCTACTTACGGCAGGCGCCAATGACGGGAGTGGCGGTAGAGGAGTGGCAAGGGGAGGCTTCGAGTGGTGAATTTTGATGGAGGGATGTCACTAGTAGAAAGTCGATCTTCAATGACAGTTAAAATCTGTTATTAACATAATTCATGACAATTATCTAATTGTCATCTATTAAGGCATCAAGAAAGATGAGGAGATGACAAATGTGAAAAATTATCATCAATGCATTTACAACTACAGTTATACTTTGTCATGAATAGATTTTCCATCACAATTAATAAATGTCACGGAAAATCATTTAATTACAATTTATAAGTGTCATTAAAACAATCAAATATTTTTATTCTCCTGTCAATAAAGACCTAAAGACGACAATTTATAAATGTCTCAAATTATTTKGTGATGACTGTTTTATAATTGTCATGAACTAGTATTTAACGACAGTTCAAGATTGACATGAATTTTTTTTAACGACTGATTACAAACGTCAAGAAAAACTTAACAACAACTATTTATAGTGATAGTTTTAACAGTCAATATTGTCAATTTTAACTATCACAAAAAATTTTATAATGACAACTTAAAAATGTCATGCAACATTAAATAATGACATTCATTATATGTCACGAAAAGTTTACCACGACAATTTAAAACTATCATGATATACTTAATAATGTCAACTTTCGTGTTTTAGAAATGTCAATATAAGGCCTTCAATCACATTTTTTAATTGTCACAAAACAGTTGAATGTTTTTTTTTCGTCACAAAACCTATAAAGTGTATATATATAGTAAATTAGTACACCAACCCACTTGCAAATATAAAGTGTATACATATAGTAAATTATATATACATCGACAAAGGTTTTATATATACATGGCTCAACAGTCATTTTTTAAATATTCCAAGTACCTACCYGTCATAGTTCTCCAGGCTCTTCTTGGAAGACCTAAGTAATGGACCTAAGTAATGGAAAAAAACCTCAAATATTTCACAATAGTATCTGCGAAAGGTCAAAACTACAACAAATGTAGCTAACATATTACTATTATATGTTGTTAGAATTCATACCGTGTAAACGTGAAAGGTCAAACTACAAAATGTAGCTAACATATTACAGAAAACTTAGGCAAGAATTTACTGAAAAAAAAAATTCAAAACTAAGATTTAATTAATAGATTTCTATCTAAAATTCAAGATTTTATGTTATTAAAAAATTTAAAGGATTATGAACYTAACTAGTTTCAATTTAAATCTAAATTAATTCCTAAGCATTCYATTAAGTTGACTTTCATTCCAATAAAAAAAATYCAAGTTATAATTTAAATTTATGCAAGGGAGGGTTGATAAGAAATAAATATATATTATTTATTTTAAATTGAAATTATAATTAAATTAATTAATGGTGGTAAAGGGTAAAATTTKGTAAAGATATAATAATACAGGKTTGATAAAATAATTTAAATCCATCGGGCTCAAACTCGACCGAAGAGAGGAAGGGCACAATTACGAAGGATAAGCTTACCACTATACCAAARACACATTTTCTACTTGTTTGATGGAGTATTCGGGAAAACCATTAAGCATAAACATATACTCGATGCGACCAAACAATCCCRAAATAATTAATATCATTAACAAAGCGGTAATTTTTCCGACRGAAATGAAACGCGCTCAAAATCATTTGTGACACTTTTTGTATGTCATAGATTCTCAAGATTGTCTAGGTAATTGTCATGGAATACTTGAATTTTTTTTATTTTTCATGACAATTATAAAATGTCATGAAGAAAGAAAATTTTCGTAAGTAGCCATTGTTTCCCACCAAATACACGCCTTTATCTTTTCGTGACATTTTTTCACTGTCATAAAACTTGAAAAATCTGAAAAGTTCCATTTTTTCCGGCCAAAAATGCGCCTCAATCATTTATGACAGGTTTTTTTTCCTCCCAACTTTTTTACTGTTCACAACTATCATAGAAGCTCATGTTTCTACTAGTGTTGGGGGTCGAGTCTAGATTGAAATTTCGAAACTGTTGTTTAGAGCGTCATGTTGTAGTGCACAAATTAAAMACAGAAATGGAATGGTGTGAATGTCGACGTGAGATAGTACAAGTGTGTCATGTTGAGAGAAAATAAAAAACATCAACTATGTTTTGGAGTTGCAAAACATATGTAAAACATGAATAATTGACGGTTTGAAAATAAAATATCAACTGTACTGTTTTGGAGTTKTAAAACATGAGTAATTGACGGTTTGAAATTTTTCTTTTTCTTAGTACAACATGTTAARGAGGGGATTCAAACTCACAACTTCTTGGTTGGATGCATATGTCAATTACCACTAAGTTATACTCGCTTGGCAACMGTTTGAAATTTAGAGTTGGATGAATAGTTAGGTAAAGATTTATTATACCATAAAAGGTTTATTTATTACCACGAGGACAAATTCATCTTTTCACAATATTAAGAAATTCAAGGGATAAAAAATAAGGATAGGTGGGATCACAAAAAAAAGGTTTGGATTCGTAGAAGGAATCATAAATCTGATTTCATTTATGGGAGGGCTCACGACACCAACACCTCCACCTCAAGAAACTTAGGAAAAAAATTGGAGAAAAAAAAAACACTTCAAGTTTTGACCTTTCCTTCACAAATGACACATAACTGTGCTCCCTATATAACCGCCACACATCACCACCAATCCATTATTCACATACAAACACAATACACTCACAAATTTGCAGAGAAAATTAGAAATAATAAATGGCGGAAGAACTGCAAGTGTTTGGTTTCTGGACAAGTCCTTTTAGTCGCAGAGTGGAGCTGGCTCTCAAACTCAAAGCCTTGGAATATGAATATGTTGARGAAGATWTATGGAACAAGAGCGATTTGCTTGTAAAATACAACCCAATTTACAAGAAGGTGCCTGTGCTCGTCCACCATGGAAAGCCCATCGCAGAGTCTCTTGTSATCCTCGAATACATTGAAGAAAATTGGAAGGCCAACCCCATCTTCCCCCACCATCCCCATCAAAGAGCTCTCGCCAGGTTCTGGGCTAAGTATATTGATGACAAGGTAACACCCTACCGTCCAATTTAATCTATACTTATAAGTAGGGTAAATTTAATCTTTCATCAATACTTGTAACAGATTGTGCCTGCTATACTAAAAGTTGCTMGAAGCAAAGTAGAAGAAAGAGAGAAGGCCGTGGAGGAAGCGAGCGAGGCATGTGAAGCCCTAGAGAAAGAGCTTGAAAGCAAGAAGTTGTTTGGAGGAGACAGGATTGGGTTGGTGGACATTGTTGGCATTGTGGTAGCCTACTGGGTTCCTGCCATTGAAGAAGGTGTAGGGTTTGAGTTGCTGACAAGCCACAAGTTTCCAAACATAACCAAATGGAGTGAAGAGCTGTTGAACCACAGCGTGGTGAAGGAGACTTTGCCTCCAAGAGCAGAGCTTGTTGCCTATTTGCAAGCTGTTTTTGGAGCCAACTAGAAAGATGGTTTTGTTTTTTGTTTTTCTCTACTTTTTCTTTTTCCCTTGGATTATTGAAACTAGCTATTAATCTATCATGTTTGGATTTATTGTTTAACTTTATTGGAAGTTTTTTTTTTCTTTTCCATGTACTTTAATTATGTGTAGATTCAATAAAGTGGAAGTCCTCTGGAATAAAGTTTTAGCATTTCTTTACTATATGATAGATGCATCATTGTTTTTTTTTTTTCAAGATTTATTCTTTGATTTCTCCTCTAGGTATTCTCTAATTCAATTTTTATTATATAAAATTTCCACATCATAGTGGCTAGGATTAGACATGGGTTTGGATAATTCGGTAATTTATGGATCAATTCAAGAGTAGGAGTTAGTTGATACTCCTATCCCAAATGATTTGAGGGTATAGTGCACAGAAATGCAAATGGTGAGTAAGTTCGCGGTAATTTGTTGTTACTTTATACTTTTAACCGATTAAATTATTTTTAAATTGGCGCATGGATGGTTTTGTACCGTTATTAATATTAATAAAAAGGTATTTTTATTATCATATTACAGTTGATTCATACCCCAATTTTTTCAAAACTCAGATCAAACAAAAAATTTGGTTATGCAAACATGGACCCAACCGGCCAACCGTTAGACTTTGAGTTTGAGTTGGTTGTTTCATTGTTTGGGTTGATTTTTTCGAATTATGAATTTATCAACAGTAGCTATTTCGCTTTTTTTTTTTTTCAATCTATAAAAGCTATAAATCTTGAAGAAAAAAAATCAAAGTCTTTAGCTGGAAGTTGACTTAGAAACTGTGGTGTTTTTCGAATAATTTGGGTTTCCAATATTGAATTGTATTCGTGGACCGTCGCCATCGCTTACGACGCCATCAGAAATTTCAACACTAGAATTCGCAATATAAATTAAATTAGAAGGACCCACCAGAGCCATAAATTGAAAAACTCACAATCAATTCAACATTTAGCAGAGTAAGAAATGAAAAATGGCTGAAGAACTGCAAGTGTTTGGTTTCTGGACCAGTCCTTTTAGTCGCAGAGTGGAGCTGGCTCTCAAGCTCAAAGCCTTGGAATATGAATATGTTGAAGAAGATTWAAGGAACAAGAGCGATTTGCTTGTAAAATACAACCCAATTTACAAGAAAGTGCCTGTGCTCCTCCACCATGGAAAACCCATCGCAGAGTCTCTTGTAATCCTCGAATACATCGAAGATACCTGGAAATCCAACCCCATGTTCCCCCAACATCCCCATGGAACAGCTCTTGCCAGGTTCTGGGCTAAGTACATAGATGACAAGGTAAGTTTTCTCTTTTCTGGGCTTCCTTTTTCTCATTCAGAGTGTACAAAAGTTAGAAAAAGTAGTTGATTTGCTGCATCGTTTTTCAAATTTCAGGTTGTGCCGGCAGTACTGAAAGCTGCTTTTAGTAAAGGAGAGGGAAAGGAGAAGGCTGTAGAACAAGTGTGGGAGACTTTGGAGCCACTGGAGAAGGAGATTGATGGGAAGAGGTTTTTTGGAGGAGACAGAATTGGGTTTGTGGACATTGTGGGCATTTTTGTAGGCTACTGGGTTCCTGCTATTGAAGAAAGTTTTGGGATTGAGCTGCYAAGAAGTGACAAATTTCCAAAACTAAGCAAATGGGTTCAAGAGCTTGTGAACCACAGCCTCGTGAAGGAGGTTCTGCCTCCAAAACTTCAAMTAATTGCCTATATGCAAGCTGTTCACCCACCCAACTAGATATTGTTTTCTTTTCATATCTTAGAAATAAGATGAGCTTGAAAGAGGAGAGCAAATAATTCTCTCCCTCCTAATTTGTGTAGGTATAAAATTTTAAGTTTGTACTTTGGATTGAGAACTGAATTAAGAAAGAACGTTTTTCGATGYATAGTTAAAGATATTGTTTATACRTAGAACTAGATAGAGTCAAACCTGATTAARGTATGATAGGTGAAATAGATGAGTAACTTAGTAAGAAATGACCTACATAAGATAGACAAGTCTATAAGTTTGAACTTCATAGAGAGTTCGATAACTAATGTTGAAGTGAGGCTCTCTAGTTGAAAAACCGACCGAAGGTCATTTCYGGTGGTTCGTAGGTCGGACATGTCAGGTGTCATGGCTTGGAGTTAGTCAAAGRTCGTGCCAACAGAATACCTTTTCATTGCACTCTGTGATTAAGAATGTAACGTTAGACCTATCCAAGGTGGACTTTGCTAATCCACTCGTTCCTTTATTCTTCACGTGGTAGTATAATTCTCTCCTRGTCGAGAGAAGTTTAATTATAAAAAAGTTTAGAGGATGGAGTAGTCAAACATGATGGCCAGATTAAATAACTTTTAATTAAAAAGGTTTGACCACTTACACAGAGGCTTACGACAACCATAACCTCCACTCCAAGAAATTGAACATTTCAAGCATTATTATACTAATCCTTTCTCCTCTCATAAGGAGCCAGCAGCCCAATACTCCCAAGTCCCAAGCTTTTTTTTTTTTCTTCTTCTTTGCAGAGAAATTAATTTGAAAGAAATGGGTGAAGAAGTGCAGGTGTTTGGTTTCTGGGAAAGTGCGTACAGTCGCAGAGTGGAGTTGGCTCTCAAACTCAAAGCCGTGGAGTACCAATACATTGAGGAAGATTTGCCACACAACAAGAGCGATTTGCTTCTCAGATACAACCCAATTTACAAGAAAGTCCCTGTTCTCCTCCACCATGGAAAACCCATCGCAGAGTCTCTTGTCATCCTCCAATACATCGAAGATACTTGGAAGGCCAACCCCATGTTGCCTCAACACCCCCATCAACGAGCTCTCGCCAGGTTCTGGGCTAAGTACATCGATGACAAGGTAACGCTAGGAACGAGTCTTTTAAGATTCCGTTGGATATTGTTTCCATTTCTTGTTTTTAAATTTACTACGCAATCTAAACCTTTTCAAATTGTACRTAAGTTTTGGAAAGAATAAAAACAAGTTTTTTTTTCTTTTTTTTTTCTATTTCCAATTTGTTTTCTGATCATACTTGAATTCATAGATGTTAGGATCATGCAACAAAAACAACAAACATGGATATCATTCTATTAGGAATGCCAAGTGTAGGGACAATGGAAAGAAAGTTGAAAAGTCTGATATCCCATTTGATAATGATTCCATTTTTGTTTGTATCATTAATTTTTAGGTTGTGGGTGCGGTGGTGAAAGCTGCTGTAAGCAAAGGAGAGGAGAGAGAGAAGGCAGTAGAGGAAGCGAGGGAGGCGTTGGAAGAACTTGAGAAAGAGCTTAAAAGCAAGAAATTCTTTGGAGGACACAATATTGGGTTTGTGGACATTGTTGGCACCATCGTAGCCCACTGGGTTCCAGCCATTGAACAAAGTTTTGGGTTTGAGGTCCTCAAAGCTCACAACTTTCCAAATCTAACCAAATGGAGTGAAGAACTTGCAAACCACAGCCTGGTGAAGCAGGTTCTGCCCCCACAACATGAAATTGTTGCCTTCATGGAATCAGCTTGGTCAAATTAGAACAGGTTCATGCCTTCTTCTGTCTAATAGCTTCTTTACAATTTAATAGGTACTTAAACTTTCAATTTTTGTGTCRTGTTCGGTAAGTGTTCTAATGGACYGTTAAATTTTTTATTTCATGTCTAATAGTTTCTTATTCTATCCAAAAGTATTATGAATTCGCGGACACATTATATCCTATCATTAGACTAATATTTGATCTACAACTGCTTGCTCAYCGTTTGACTTAAGACACCAGTAACCTTCACTCATATTACAAAGATATATGACACACAAAGAAAGGGAAGAAGTATACTTAAGTTGTCGGCMGGTAAACCTTTCCGACAGTATTTTTATTAAACTTATAAAATTATAGYGTCGATGTCGATTTTTGGACAAGTTTGACCTAAGTTTCACGTAGGTGCCACAAATACCTTCGTCTCTGGGCGCTTGATTGCTCTTGACTACTTGTACACAAAAATATAGCGATGTGGTGCTTTACCGAATGGCCCTGATGCTTAAGTTAGAACTTAAGTTGGAAGCAAATAGTATAGAGTAAAATAGAGTAGAAATGRCAGTAATCTCGAGGATGAGTCTAGTTGAGTGTGTACCTAATTCTCACAAGGAGTTGTGTAAGGGAAGTTCGACTTACCTTAGTTAGAGTTGATCTTTTCCTTATATATGAAGAACAGATGAATGAGCTGGTGAAGCAAGATAGATTGCTAATGGGGGTTTGGGAACTCGCTCAGACATTTTTGTGCTTTTTTCTGCTATCATAGAGTGGTGCAGCGGGCGTCTAGAGGTACGCTCCTGACACTATGCCAGATGTCTGTTGGGTGAGTTTGTAGAAACCTTTAACTGTGTTGGGAGTGTTCATATAGTACACCGAAAGATGGACGAGTTTATCGATATCTCTAACTGTGTTGGAGGCATCCTTATGGTGTATTTAATCTTTCTTTTTCAATGCGCTCAGCACTATTCCTGCATGTTCTGCCCACATGCTCTAAAATGGGAAGGTCATCTAATGTGTCCTCATGAGGTAGTCTCAACATAAAGTATTTTACGACTCAATAAACCACTACACAACAATTGGTAGTTTTACGTAAGATCAAGTGGTTGCATTTGAAATAATGGGCGAGAATTTATGGCCCATTTGGTAATATTACTTGTGTTTCTTTATGTTTATATAAACTTGTTTAATTGGAAATARAAACTACGAAGGAAAAACTTGTTTTTGTTATTTCCAAAATTTATATACAATTGTGATAATGTTCCCAAAAGAAATAGAAACAAGAAATAAAGTTTGTTGTAAAATGTTTGGATTTCTTAAAAAAATTAGAAACGAAAAATAAGAAACAGAAACATTACCAAAGATGCCCTTAAATTTCGTGACGTGATTATTTTAAGTGTCAAGGAGGCAATATAAAAATATCTAGTTTTGTCACACATTAATATTAAAATGTTATTAAGATTAACTTTAAATATCCCGTCATCTCTCTATCAGAGGCCAACAAAAGAAATGAATGAGGGGGACATTTTGGAAAATATAAAAATAAAAAATAACTATTATTGATGAAAAATAATAAGGAAGGAATCACCYTAAATTAGAGTTCAGYTATGTTCATATTAATATAGTCTATTAAAAATATATATATAGTTGAAGTAAATTAATATTCGATAAATTTTAATTTTAAATATTAAAAACAAAATTATACCATTTTATTTATAAAATAAAATTTTAAACCTAATACTATATTATATAAATATATATTTCATTTTATGCATTTCTGTAATTCCCTCGCTAAAAGAGAACTCATAAATCAAAATTTAGCAACYGAAAATAATACTAACTAAACATAAACTAGTATAATAGAATCTCACACCAATAATCATTTAAAATTTTATATAATTTAAATTAAAAACTATATTTTGATTACACTAAATTATTTGACAAAAGGCTAAGAAACATAATTGTTACAAAAGAAAAAATCCATTGAAATAAAACGTTACCTCCAGGCCCAAACACAGAATTTTAACCACAGACCACCTAAATCCTCAGGCCATGGCGGCCATGGCTACCCAACTCGTGAATCACGATTGTTATCGTAACAAAAGAATGAAAAATGACGCATTATTCCACATGATAAACGTGAGCAATCTTTTCTTGATTTTTAGAGCAGTGGCCAAAATTCCCACAAATTCATCATTCGCTTCCGCCTCCGTTAGTTAATCACCTCCGGCCGCCGTCGATGGCGCGACCTCGGGTGTTGGTTTTCCCTTTCGCGGCGCTGGGCCACGTGAAGCCGTTCTTAACTCTGGCGGAGCTGCTTTCCGACGGCGGCGTGGACGTGGTGTTCTTAAGCACAGAGTATAACTTCGGCCGCATCTCCAATCTCGCAGCCTTAGCCTCCCGCTTCCCCACGCTCCAATTCGCCACCATCTCCGACGGCCTGCCGCTGCCGCCCGATCACCCGCGCTCTCTTCTCGACACTCCTCTGTATTTCACAATGCGCGACGGAATCAAACCGCGATTACGCCATTTGATTCGATCTTACAACGACGCTTCTTCCCCCATCACCTGCATCATCAACGACATCATGTATTCTTCCCCGATCGAAGTGGCCCAGGAATTTGGGATCCCTGTTTTTACCTTCTGTCCGTTCAGTGCTCGATATTTGACCACTTACTCTATTATACCAGAACTCAATGAAAAAGCTCAAATCCCATACGCTGGTCAGAAACAGAGTTGCGCCCTTCCCCTTCTCTCTGTATTTTGTTTATAGTTTTTTTGCTGCTTCTAATCTGATTGTGTACTGAAGTTAAGATGAGAATCCGGTGGGAGAGATTCAGGGTATGCCTCTGTTCGAAGGTCTTTTGCGGCGAAATCATTTGCCTGCTTTTTGGTGTGAGAAAACTTCTGATATACCAATGTCTCACTCCTTGATTAATCAGACCCTTTCAGTGGCTRGAACCTCTGCTCTTATAATCAACACATTCGACGATTTGGAAGCTCCATTTCTGACCCATCTTTCCTCCATTTTCGACAAAATTTACACCATCGGGCCCCTCCATGCTCTGTCCAAATCGAGGCTCGGCGATTCCTCCTCCTCCCCTTCGGCCCTCGCCGGGTTCTGGAAAGAGGATCGAACCTGCATGTCTTGGCTCGACTCTCAGCCGCCGAGATCGGTGATTCTCGTCAGTTTCGGAAGTTTGGTGAAGATTAAAGAGAATGAATTGATGGAGATTTGGCATGGTTTGGTGAACAGCGGGAAACCCTTCCTGTGCGTGCTGAGACCCGACGTGGTTTATGGGGGAGAATCTGAATCGGGGCAATTGATCAAACAGTTGGTGGGCGAAAGAGGGAATAATGGCAATTGGATGGTAGTGGAGTGGGCAGCACAGGAGAGGGTGCTGGTGCACCCTGCGGTGGGTGCGTTTTTGACGCATTGTGGTTGGAACTCGGTAACGGAAATCATTGTGGCCGGAGTTCCGATGATATGTTGGCCGAGTATTGGCGATCAGCCCATTAATTCTACTTGGATCGACAAAGTATGGAAAATTGGAATTGAAAAGGACCAAAAGTGGGACAGGTCGACGGTCGAGATGATGATAAGAGAACTGATGGACGGCCAAAAGGGAGTGGAAATCCAGATATCCATGACGAAGCTTTCGAAATTGGCAACCGAAAAGATTGTCAAAGGAGGTTTGTCTTCTAATAACTTGGAACTTCTCATACAGCACCTCAAAATATTGTGACCATGTAGAAGATGGTAATGTGCTACAACGTTGGTTTGGTTTCATTTTGAGTTCACAGGATAAACTAGTATTTAATTGAGTACATTTATATATTTAATTGTTTAGTTAATATGAGATAGTCCTACAAATATAATTGTCTGTTTCAAGCAAATGTGCGGAGGAAGAAATAATGAAAGTAACAAAGTTGTTTTTCTTTTCAATATTAATGAACTAGCCCATGTTGAATCTAAACCTCAAACTTCTAAAAAARAGAGTAAAATGTCTTATAATCTCTGAGTTATATACTCGTGTTGGCATTTTATATATGTACTAAAGACACATAATTTTGTTCGGAAGGTATTAGATGGGTGAGAACGATTTTCTTTTCAAATTTTAAAATGATATAATATAGACATGTWGAAAATTCAACCAKTGATTATTTTTTTATCTACGTAACTCTGAAATTGAATATAGTTTAATGGGTACCAATTTTCATTAGTTAATGTTAAAATTTGTTGATGTTAGTAGGCTCACAGGATAACTAAGTGAGTTAGAATATGGTAATTTAGAAGGGAGAATTAGATGTTTAAGAAGGAAAATAAAATTTCTCTCTCCAAAATGGTTAGACTTCTCATTTAAATTTCWATCAATTTATTAAATACCCACATTAAATTCCTATTTTCATTATTAATATTTTTATTATATGTCCTAAGAAAATTTTCGATGTAATCAACCCCAAACTTAATTATAAAAATTGATGTCAAAAAATGAATTTTTCTAAAAACAAAATTAATTTTACTACAAGGGTGAGTCTTTTATTGGAGTGCACTCAACTCTTTGGTGTGTTCAACTTTTGAAATCTTGAAATCTTATCTTGAAGATGCACTAGGCATGCCTAATTCTTTTGAAGATGCACTGGACAAGGATGATAATAAGATGCACTACAAGAAAATCTTACCTTACTAATTAGTTTCTAATAAAGGTTTGAGTTATGAATACTATTGTAGTGCTTTCTTATTATCATCCTTGTCTTTTTATGTGATGATTTAAATATTTTAGATTCTTTTAGGGGAAAAATAAGAGAAATGTTCTAAGAAACCAGAGAAAATGCTTGGTCTTGATTGAAAATTGCAGCATTGTTCTATCTAGATCAACTTATCCGAGCACCATCCACGTTGCTATTGTTATATACCTTTTGTTGTTTGTGTACTACTCTGTTTATAATTGTACCTTTTGTTAGAAAGTATGAATAGAACTCATATTATGAGGAGTAACTGTGTAGCCACATGAGATTTTACATTTTAGAAGATCTTGACATTTAGTAATTAGTTTGTAGCTAACTTAAAATTTAGTGCAACATTATTATTAGTATTAGTGATTAGATTGCAAGATATTCCAAAAGTGGTCATCATCCTATCAAAGTTTAAAATCAAAATCAATAGGTTTGGAAAACAATGGCTATAAATAGTTTACTGCTATCAATTTCTTTTAGTAGTAATTCCACCCGAAGCTAGAAGTAGAAACCATAAAAAAAATACAATTATGAAATTAACCAACTGAGGGACCTAGAACATGGCTCAAGAGTGGGAAAGGAATAGTGCACAATTATTTTATTTTGGTTTTTACTTTCTTTTTTAGACTTAGGTCATCATACTCGAATTTACAAGATTGAGGATTCTTAATAGTGCACAATTTATCTGCTAGATTGTCTCCTCATACTAGTAACTATTTGATATATATCTAGTTTATTTATCTGAACTTTTTTGCCCATGAAGATGATTTGATGATGAACATGTCAATGTTCCTTTTGCTCTTTTACCATTCCCAGCAGAATGGAAATGTCATGAAAGTGCATACGTTTTGATGTAATTACTTTTAATCAACTTGCTTTTCAACAGAAGTTTCTTCATAACTTCAAAGAAATATCTCTCTTTCAAATTAAAACTCTTTATTTTAATGTTCAATTTATTGAAACAAATTATTGGTTTAATTAATTCGTTCTTTTTTTTCAAATATGTGTTTAGAGGAAGAAAAAGATCATGGTTCAGTATCAAAGAGAACTAACCATTTAAAACCTATAGAAGAATTCCTTCTTCTTAATTAAGTTTCCTAAATCCAAACCCCCTCTTGCAAGGGGGAGGGAAACAAACCATAAACAAATTCTATCTCCCTCCTACTTCCTCCAAATGAGTTAGTGATTTAGGATTTCCTTCCAAAGGTATCCCAATTACCTCTAACACATGAACATTTACTTGTTTTATTTGCTTCCTCCAACTATCATAGTTGATGTCCAACGGACTAATTTCAATAAGTTTTTTCTCACTCTAGAAGTCCAATAATAGGTATTGAGACAGTGGAGTAAATTATGTGAAAAAGCTTTCAACTAGCCTAGTTCCTCTCTCAATAAATCAACTCAAAGTATTGAGAACAAACGCAGAAGAAATGGAGAAAAATCTCCTTGAAGCTTTTATTCTCACATGAGGTTTTCGCTGAAGAAAATGAGAAAGGTTGGCATCCTGATGCAGCTTGTTGTGCATCTTCCCCAAGTTAACCCAAAGTCTTTTCTTCACGCTAACCATATTATATGCTTCCTCTAGTACAATTTAAATTACATATCCTGTTGGCAACCTAATAATAGATTAATGTTTGTATATATCAAATACCAACTCATTACTATGAATTCTTCAAATGGATCCCTGGCTTAGGCATCAGTTACATTAATTAAACATCTTAGTTTAATTAATTTGTTGCTTTTTCTCCTTTGGAAGATGGTTTGTGGATTATGTGTAGTGATTCATTTTTATTTTGGTTTCTACTTTCTAGTACAATTTCTTTGTGGTTTTCCTTACTAATATGAGGGCGAGATATTATCTCCTATAGTCCTCTCTCTCTTCCCCATCTATTTATCTTGAGCCATTTTGTTTATCACTTTTAGGTTTTCAAGTGTCTAATATAGTTTTTCCTTCAAGAATTTGGACGACAAAGAAAAGTTGAGGTACAAAGACTCAAAGATCAAATTATTGAGTTAGAAAATCGTTTTGAGCATCAATTTCAAGCAACGATGGCTGAGATGATGCGAAAAATATCCTAAAGTAAGGGTTAGAAAATTTTGTTGTTTTAGGTATTTGAAGTATTTGTATTATTTGAATTATTTTTAGGAATATGGTGACTACTTGTTGATTGTTTTTGCAGTAACTATTGGTTATAGTAAGTAATATTTTGCTTGGGTTGAATATAGATTTGAAATTATAAATTTTAACTAGAAAAAATAATTTAATTTTTTCAAACAAATAATATTAAATTAATATTAATTTCAAATGTTATCATTCTATTTGGTTTTTTCCGAAGGATTACAAATGTCAATAAAGAACTTTTTTTTTAAGGTTTAAAAATGGTTGGTGATAAGATTATCATCCTTAAAAAATAATGAAAAGCTTCAAAAAAGTAATTGAACTAACTAATTACCACAACTAATTTAATAATTATGAAGGTTTATAACTTTTGAAAAATATAAATTTTTGAAGGTTGATAAAACTTTCGAAAAAGCTTTTTCGACACTTTTTGAAGGTTGAGTAAACCTTCAAAAAAAACATTTATCGAAGGTTTATTTTATACTTTTTCAAAGATTGTGACCTTTGAAAATACTTAATTTTTTTTTGCAGTGGCACCATAGTCATCACCTCGATCACTTTAAGGCATTACCCTTGAACGCGACTGCACAGGTCTTCACGTCAGTCGCGCCCAAGCCAACCCATGTGGCCAACCTCTTCTCAATGCAAGGGAGCACGACCCCTGCGGTCTTAGTCCTTCTCAGCACCAAGCAAACGCGGCTCTCATGGTTGCACCCCCTGTGCCCACCGCGACCACCTTGGTTGAAGCATGGTGTGCACACCACTCAACTGCAGTCCATTGCGCTTCTCACATGCCTCCCTGACGCGCGCATAGGCCCATGCAAACTTGTCTTCCACTCCAATTATACTTGGGGAAGAAGGGCTAGGACCCCTATAAATACAAGGGGTCCAAATGCCAATAGAGGTAAGAAACACAACTAACCCACTGCACTTCAATATAAATCTTTCTCTTTCATCAGTTCTTAATACTGCCTTAAGTATCGAAATATATGTCGGTACCTCTTCAACACTAAGTCACATTTTTTTTTATGTAAGATTACTTTCGATCTAGTGGTATGAACCAAGATTTGATCTTACCTCTATTTCAAAAAATCCATCAAAGTTATGTTTGGACTACTTAGTTCAATTGAACTCTTCAAATCACGTTTCAACGGCCAAGTTATAACATATACAATAACTTTAAAATAAATTCTAAAAAATAATAATATTAAAAAAAATGTCATTTGTTTGTTCTATTACTCAATGATATATTAAATTGAAAGGGAAGGAATATGTGGTAGAAATTTTAAAATTAAAAAATATATGTATCTATGTCATCTAAAGGATGGGAAAAGAAAGGGCCGACCTAGAAAATAACGAAAATCCTTAAAAGCAAACGCTACTGCCAATTCCAATTGTCAACATTGTAAAACTCGACTGGCAACTCCACAAAAGCCAACGCAGTCCCAATAAAATAACACACTCTAATTATACAATATTTGGATGATTAATACTAAGTTTCTCATGTTTGTAACATTAAAAAGCACGAAAATAAATCCCTAAGTACCTAAATTTTATACAATGTTTTTTCATTGAAATTTTTTTAAGAAAAATACTTGGAGTTTTGTGATGAGCACTGTAAAAACAAAACAATAAATTATCAATTATTTTTAGTACTAGTTAACGTAGACTTATGAGATACCAACAATACTTAAATACTATTCATATTATATATACTTTGAATATGGTTTTGGTGTAAAAACATATGGAAATTTATGATCAGTTGCATTTCTATGGAGCAATCTGATAGTAATAGTGATGATCATCAACATCATGTCCTCCTTTTTCCGTTTCCGGCGAAGGGTCACATCAAGCCCTTCCTCTGCCTCGCCCAGCTCCTCTGCGGCGCCGGCCTCCAAGTCACGTTCCTCAACACCGACCACAACCACCGTCGCATCGACGACCGCCACCGCCGCCTCTTAGCCACCCAATTTCCGATGCTTCATTTCAAGTCCATTTCCGACGGCCTCCCGCCTGACCACCCTCGAGATCTTCTCGACGGGAAGCTTATTGCATCCATGCGTCGAGTAACCGAGTCGCTCTTCCGACAGCTTCTGCTCTCCTACAATGGTTATGGAAATGGAACTAATAATGTTTCTAACTCCGGTCGCCGGCCGCCCATAAGTTGCGTTATTACAGATGTGATTTTTAGTTTTCCGGTGGAGGTGGCTGAGGAATTGGGGATTCCTGTGTTTAGTTTCGCCACGTTCAGTGCCCGTTTCTTGTTTCTTTACTTCTGGATTCCTAAGCTCATTCAAGAGGGCCAGCTTCCATTTCCAGGTAACTTCTTAATTTGTACAAACTACAAAACCCTTTTAATCTTGGTTTCTTAATAGGAACATTAAAATAAGACAAAGTTGAATGGCTAATTTATCATTATCAATTGGATAATTTTAGTTAACTCAGCATATATAGTTCAAGCACCTAGTAGTGAGTTGGAATTCCTAATTCCACATAATTTGTTTTGAAAAATAAAAAATCAAATAATTTTAGTTTTGAATTTTGTTTGAAAAACAATGTTTGAAATTTCTTATCATTATTTATTCAAATACTAACATATGACCAAGTTAAATTGTTAAGATGTATTATTAACGCTCCATTTCCAAACAATTTTGTTTTTAGACTTTCAAATTTATGCTTGATTTTGTTCACGATTTTATAGTTATTTGCGCTACTCAATTACTATTTGGGCAAATAAAACCCAACCTTTCATCAGCAAAATTCTACCCCGACCCATATCGATAAAAATTCATTTTTTTTCCAATTTGAATGTTAAATTGATATGCCGCGCCTAAATACCATATAAATAAAACAATGATTTAATGGCCCATTAGCTTCATATAAGCAAATCTCAACTAATTTGTTTATAGAGTGATTAGTTGACTGATAAATTTTAATACAAAGAGTTGAAAAGATTGAAAAACATGAAAATTAGATTTCCTATATCATTTAATCTAAATTTTGAAAACACATGTTTGTTGCACAACAAAAATGATTGGTTTCTTTGTTTCCGAAATTGTTTTCAAAACATGAGACAATTCCCTTGTAAGTTGTACCACCATAGTACAAAATTTACTCCCATTGATCTATGTTTGAAAAATACGGTATATATACGTGTGTATTTTCCATTTGATGGTGTGTGTTTGCAGACGGCAAAACCAACCAAGAACTGTACGGCGTTCCCGGGGCTGAAGGGATCATAAGATGCAAAGATTTGCCAGGATCTTGGTCCGTAGAAGCCGTAGCAAAAAACGACCCAATGAACTTCGTGAAGCAGACGCTGGCCTCGTCTCGCTCCTCGGGCCTCATTCTCAACACATTCGAGGATCTGGAAGCCCCATTTGTAACCCATCTCTCCAACACATTCGATAAAATCTACACCATTGGGCCCATCCATTCTCTGCTGGGCACCTCCCACTGTGGCCTTTGGAAAGAAGACTACGCTTGCCTGGCCTGGCTCGACGCTCGGCCGCGGAAATCCGTCGTCTTCGTCAGCTTCGGGAGCTTGGTGAAGACGACAAGTCGCGAGTTAATGGAGCTTTGGCACGGACTGGTGAGCAGCGGGAAATCGTTCCTGTTGGTGTTGAGATCGGATGTGGTTGAGGGGGAGGATGAAGAGCAAGTGGTGAAGGAGATTTTGGAGAGTAATGGAGAGGGGAAATGGTTGGTTGTGGGGTGGGCGCCGCAAGAGGAGGTGTTGGCCCATGAGGCCATTGGTGGGTTTTTGACGCATTCGGGATGGAATTCCACAATGGAGAGCATCGCTGCTGGGGTTCCTATGGTCTGTTGGCCTAAAATTGGGGATCAGCCCAGTAACTGTACTTGGGTCAGTAGGGTTTGGAAAGTTGGGCTTGAAATGGAGGAACGGTACGACCGCTCTACGGTCGCGAGAATGGCAAGGTCTATGATGGAACAAGAAGGGAAGGAAATGGAGAGGAGAATTGCGGAGTTAGCGAAACGAGTGAAGTATAGAGTTGGTAAAGATGGAGAATCGTACCGAAATTTAGAAAGTTTGATTCGAGATATTAAAATCACCAAATCAAGTAATTGAGGTTTTCCTGTATCCTCAATTCGACAAAAGAAGGATTTTTTTTTTTCTGTCTTTGAATTTGAATTTTATAAAATTAGCGTGTGTTTTTAATTGTGTGCTAACATGAGCATAAAGAAATTTATTCATTTTCTTCATTTTCTTTTTTTTTAATTCAATGAAATTTGGAGATTTGAACTATAAGGTTGGTCGCTAGGTATTTTAGGGTAGTCCAAAACCTATCACTAAAAGGTAGTAGAGGGGAATTATAAGACTAAGTAAATCACCTAATAATAAATGATGATAACACCATAAATCTAAAGGACTATTTATATATATATATATAATTCCCAAGTAAATCACCTAATAATAAATGATGATAACACCATAAATCTAAAGGACTATTTATATATATATATATATATATATATATATATATATGAACATTTTTTAACATTTTGAATGAGTCAATAAACGATTCTACTAACCAAAATAAAAATATCAATAAGGTGATTTTAGATAAATCGTAATATAAAAATACATAATTTTGAAAATTATTTAAATATTTTAAGACTTACTTCGGTATTACCAAATATCTTTAATTTTTAAAATGCCTTGTAATGGTTTGGATTGTTTAGTAACGAAAATAGTTGATACCCATATTTTTCTAGTAAGATTTGTAGTATTAAAATTACGCATTTACTGGTCATCCTATCATTCATATGTTAAAATATATTTTTTAAAAATAATTTTAATTCGTATATTAACTTTTTTTTATTAATTTAGATTATATTTTTATAAAGGACAAACAGAATATCTAAAAATGGGGTAACCCTTTATGCCAAAGAGGAATTTGGATGCTCATCATGCAAATCTTAAAGAAACGCACTCCAAATCGAAATAGTACATTAAACTTTAAACCATATGAAAAAACAGACTCATTTACGACATTTGAACACACTTTTTTCACAGATTTATTGAAATCCATTACACATCCAAACAAGAGAACAATCGATCCAGCGATCATTTTCAGTCGAGTTTTCGTTTCTCAGCCGGAGATTTCAACCGATTTGATCGCCGGCTTCTTCTCCGGCAGTTTGGGAACGGTGACCGTCAGAACCCCGTTCTCCATCGACGCCTTCACTTCATCAACTTTAGCATTCTGCGGCACCCTGAATCTCCTGGCGAACTTCCCCCGCCCCCTCTCCACGCGGTGCCACTTCTCGTTCTTCTCCTCCTTCTCCACCGCCCTCTCGCCGCTGATCTGAAGCACGCCGCCGTCCTCCACCTCCACCTTCACCTCTTCCTTCTTCAGCCCCGGCAGATCCGCCTTGAAAATGTGCGCCTCTGGGGTCTCCTTCCAGTCCACCTGCGCGTTGGCGAACGAGGACACTTCACTGTTGGAGCCAATCGGTGCCCACAGATCCGACAAGAAGGGGTCGAACACGCCCCTGTTGCCGAACAGAGTTGGAATCAGAGACATTTTGGGCTGGGTTTGGTTTGATTGAAGATTGAGATTATGGGATGCGCTCTATGTGTTCGATGAAATGTCTGAATGGCTTTTGAGATTTCTGTGTTGGTGTGGGGGCTATGGGGGATGGGGATTTTATACAAGGGGAAGATGGATTGATGATGGGAAGTTTCGGGGATGTTCTTGTCCTCTCTTTAGTGGGGTAACTGGTGGTAGTGTTCTTCATCCTTCCACCAGCTTCTACCTTCTTCTTCGGCGTGCGTGGCCCCTTTCGAACGAGCATCATCCGGGAGCTTCTGGTGAGTTCACTTCACACCTGCAATTAAAGCTTTGGAATTTGTCTTTCAATGTCGGCAGCCCAAGTGGAATTTGGATGGGATTTGAGTTTGGGCTGTCCGCATTGTAATTGGGTCGTCTTCTGCTTCGGGCCTTGGTTTTATTTCACATTTTCCAACACGAGGATGAAGGATAAGCAATGAACTGTAAACAAGTCCACCATAAACTCTATAATGGAAAATTTTAATTTTTTACCCTAGATAAGTCAAGATAGATAATGCAAAGTTTTAATTTCATACCATTGTTGGACTTTTTACTATTGCTAGAAATTATTTGCGAATATTCTGATTAATCTTATAAGAATTTACATGTGGCTAAAATGGGAGATACTTGTTGAAGGATTTCTTTTTTCTTTTTTTAACATTGCCAGGTTCTAAAAATAAAAAATAAAATTGGGAGGTTATTGTGAAATAAGCCCTTCACAAACCACTATAGTGTGTGTTTGGGAGTGATGGTAAAATGAGTGATTTTGAAAAAAAATAGATTTAAGTATAATTGATTTTCTAAAATCACGATACAAGATACCTTAAAAACCAATTTAAAGCGATTTTAAACTTTCCTGAAATCAATTTTTTAATTTGCATCAGTGAAAAGAGAATTGATTTTTTATAATGGCAGTCCGTAGGTCCTTCTCTTCCAGAATGGTATCTCACTAATGGTCTGGCCCCCTTCTTTACGTTCCAAACCGCACGGGAAAGATCCAAAACCAATCCCAAGGAACAATGAAACTTCATAGGGTCTTCTTGTCTAGGTAGTCTGCATCTTCAGACCCCAACCCACCCTAAAGCTGTGTAATTGTAGCAACATTTTGGCATCACTTTATGACCCCTTTCTTGATAGCCACACCTCTTCCCTTCTTTATTAGAATTCTCCATCAAGATTCCTGTTAGGCTATTTGGAATGATAGAAACAATTTTCCCATAGTATTCCAATAGCACAACCATTGGATAAGATGCGGCGGATAAGATCTTACATTCAGAGAAGCAAACTCCCAGCCTCCAATTCTTCTCTCTTCTACAACTTCATTGATCTCTTCCACTTTAATTTCAACCAACACAAGGTTATGAAAACCTTCTCCTAATACATTTTTAAATTCAACATGGATGGTACCTGCAATTCTAATCAGATTTAGGGGTGATTTTCAGAGATTTGGTGGGAAGATGCGTTGCAAGTATGAAAAAAATTGTGTTAACGTAAATTATCAAGCTCAAGGGGTAGAAATTGTTGCAGTTTTTAAGAACAGGGAGTTCGCAATCTCTAAAGATTATGGGTCGGATTATATACCATGATAGGACTAAAATCTTTTCTGGTTGTTTATAAGGAAGACTCCATTAATGCTGTCAATAATCTCTGCAGATTTTTCTGAAGTTGACATTTGGATTCAGAAAATCAATGAGGTTGCTCATTATTGACAGGTTCCTTCATTTTTTTCATGTGAGGAAGGAAAGTGGTCCACAATTTGCTTTCTTTAGCTTCTTCTTCAACCTGGATGAAATCCCTTCCTTGTTTGTGATTTTATTGTTTTATTAATGAATGAAGAACCCATTCATTTCTGATTTTCCATTGTTATTCCAAACAAAACAAACCTGAAAAAATAAGTAGGTGCCCATCTCAGCCAAAGTTGTACTACAAAAATAATCAAATGAACTGTTCTATTAAATGACACAAATTTACCTCCATGTGATAGCACCTCTAATCAGAAAAAAAGCCTATGAAATCAAAGAAATAAAAAGTGCAACTTTCTGTAATGATCATAAAAGATTAGAAAGCAGCTATAGAGTTGATAAACATATAATAAAAAAATGAAATTAGTGTAATTTAAAGAGCCAAGAAGAAGGTGACTCTGTAAATGAAAAGCACTGGGCTTTCTTTTATATGTATATATTCTCCTTCATTTCATCACTTGCGACTGAAGAAAGTTCAGAACCAAACAAACACTAGACAACAAAAAAACAAGCCCATCATCAATCTTTGGGCGGACAAACTAATAACTTCAACTTAGGTTTTAGTTAATCACAACATTAAACTTCCCTAATATTAATCATCTACAGTTTGGCTGAGCCCTGTCTCTGATCTTCATTGTTATATAAACTAAGCAGCCCCCCTTCTCTCTCTGACGTTCAGGTATGGACTCTATGGACATGTCTCCTCCAGCCATGGATGGCAACACCAGCACGAACAACTCTACCGGTAATAATATGACGATGACGATGATGACGACGAAGATGCAGATGAGCTTCTACTGGGGCAAAGATGCTGTGGTTCTATTCTCAGGGTGGCCTAAAGAGAGCCTTGGCATGTACATATTGGCTTTCTTCTTCATCTTCCTCCTGGCCTTCACCGTTGAGTTCTTGAGCCACACACCACCCAACAAGCTCGGCAAGAGCCCTGTCGTCGGCGCCTCAATTCAGGCTGTCATCTATGCTTTCCGGACAGGCTTAGCATATCTGGTCATGCTGGCTGTTATGTCTTTCAATGTTGGAATCTTTATAGCGGCTGTGGCTGGCCACACTCTCGGGTTCTTCGTCGTCGAGGTTCATGCTCTTACCGTCGAAAAGAGGACTGATTCTACTGAAGTTTGATTGCAGTTTGAGCTATGTGGCTTTGATACGATTTTGTTTGTGTCTTTTTGAACTCCTTGTTTTAATTTCGTTTATGCTGATTTGTACAATGAAAAGCTTCACTGGCGGCTGGTATTATTACTTATATATCTTCGACGGAGAAAAGACTGTGTTTCTGTTCACTGTTGTCTCTCTCTCCCTCTGTTAATTGCAAGTTTTGTAAATGCAGCCATTGTGAAATGTTTTGTTAAATTATCATTTTTGCTAACGCTATCATATCCATCCAATGTATGAAATATGCTATACGGTTGCGGGCTTAGAAGGAAGACAAATTTTATAATCGGGAACAAGGACAACATCAATTAAGGTAAACACAAGTTTGAAGTTATACAATCTATACGTTTTTCTACTAAAGTTTAAAATTTTCAAATGTCTCTTATTTCAAAAAAAAAAAAAAATCAAATCAAATGTCTCCAAATCAAATTGATATAGAATCTATGACAATCAAAAAAAGTAATCATAGCTCTATGTGAAAATCGTCTCACTTCTGATTTTATTTTTTAAAAATTAAGCTTAGAAACATTATTTTCACTTAAAGCATTTTTGTTTTTGGTCTTGTTATATCAGATTTTATTAACATTTTCAAATTTGGGTCAAATTTTGAAGAAAAAATAGTTTTCAAAAATTTGATTTTGTTTTTGAGATTTGACTAAAGGACCCTACCTTTAGTGGTTGAACCATGCCACTAAATCTAAAAATTAAAATTTTGAGTAACTTTGAGGGGTTTTTTTTCCAGAATTTTTTGAAACTTGGTGTAGAGCATAACTTGATTGGGAAAAGGTTAGGGCATCTATCTAGCATTTTTCGCTTTGGATGAGATGCAAAAATTCGAAAGCCAAAGCCTACACTACAGCGACAACACCAAGAAAGGATACCAAAAACTAAAGGAAAGAGAGAAGGGGAGAATAGCAAGGAGCCTAGAAGATAAGGGTTCCAATTTTATTTGTATTCATAAAACAATATTTTAAAACTTTTACTCAATAACATCTACACCTAATATCCACTATGAAAGATTTGAATCTCCGATCTTCGAAGAAATAAGTGATGCCTTGACCTATTGTACTATACTCATATCATCGCTAACCTATAATCTATATTTGACATTCAATATCAACTTAAAATTTTAGTAAATTTACACATGGTTGTCATAGTAGTCGTAAACACTGTCTCTCGTATACAACTTTCCTTGCACTTTCCTAGAATTTTCGTGTCGATCATAACAGAGTATTTAGGATTTTGTTGGTAGTAAAACCATTTGAGTCTCCTTTCATGAATAAAACTAAAGACTATTCCAACATTGACAAATATTCTTTTGTAATACTTAATCTAATCAGTTATTGTGGGTATGGATAACTCTTTTAACAACTTTTCCTACTGTTTGCATACTATGTCAGTGTATATAAGAACATTGAAATTACAAAACAAGTCCAACAATTGAACAATTCTTTTGAATATACAATTAGGGATATGGGAGTTCAAACATCTGACCTCAAGGGAAGGAGTAGATGCTAATTACCACTAAATTATGTTGAAAGATTTCAAGATTTGAAAATACAGAAACAAATCCATAAATGATCTGAATCCTAAAAGATATTTCATCTCCACAGATCCTATGATTGATTACAAGTGATGGAGCTAGTACAGAAAACCTATTGAAGGTGGATGTCGAAACATGCAATGCATTTTTGTATAACTCATGATGCAGTTAAAGCAAAGCTGAGCTACCTCTAATACGTTCACTTCTCTCTTGAAAATCTATAGTATAGAACATCTATTCAACCCAAGGGCTGCAAATATTCGTCTACCGGCAGGCCAGAAGCGGGATAGCCAATCCCTAGGATGGTCATCTATTGTACTATCATCACTAAATTCAGAGGATTTATCGTCATCGTTTTGTTCTAATTTATCAGAGTTTTCCTTGATTTCACCTGGGTTTGGGTCGTCTCTATCTCCATCTCCAGCCTCTGAAATTTCCCCCGGCTTTTTGTCAAATAGTCCTTTGAACTGTTTCCTTGCTTTCTTCTCCACTTCCTGTAGAATGGTGAAGCATAAGAGCAATATTACATCTTACAGAGATTTCAATCCCATCTTAAATGTTGGTAAGTTAGAATATTGATGGTGTTAATTCGACCTGTTCCTTTTGCTTCAGTTTTAGGAGTGCTGCTGTGGCATCAGGTTCGCATGATTTATCAACTTTTTTCATCTGTTAGTGTGAAGCATAAGAGTTAGAAATGGAAATGAAACATCCATAGGTTAACATTCAACAACAAAAAAATTTTACCATTTCGAAGTCGTTCCTTGCCTCCTCAAAATCTCCAAGGGTCATGTAGGCCATTCCTCGACGGAACAAAGCCTTGGCATTTGCAGGGTTCGCATCTATAACCTGCATAGTTCCACTTGAGAAATATGAAAGACTAAAATGAAAGGAAACATCGTAAAAGGCATGAAATATATGTACAACGCAGTAAATCCAATTCGTCAGATTGCCGAAAAACTAATTTGTAAAGTATTCTTCCAAATCTGACTTTTGTTAGAGTAGAAGATCCAAGATTAAATCGTATAATGATACATGTACTGGGCTTTAAAACAAAATTAATGTTCAAGCCTACATCAGGAGAATCTTAAAGAATAAACTGAAGAAAGATCAAAATGATTCCAGCCTAACAACTTAAGCACCTTGGTATCTAGGGCCAATTCAACCGCCTTTAAAACATAATGATTTTTTATGATCTTAAAATACTGGTGCTCAACCAAAAGTTGTTAAAAAAAATGAGGAACTCCGAACTCCATAAAGTTCAGAACGACTACCCTCACATCCCCTTTCTTTAACTCTTTGTTTCTGGTTGGAGTGCAGGACACAAGCATGGCTCAGAAGAATACAGAGATTAAGAACCTTGTCTGATACTGTGAATGAAAACATACTAGCGATCATTCAGATTCAAATGGAATCCATTAAATCATCTCAAATGCATAAATTTAGCTGCCAAGAGCAGATGGTGTTTTCATATACAGAAATTGGCCAAGAAAAACATAAAACATACCTTGTTACACATCTCAATGGACTTCCTGCATTCTCCCAGTTTCAGGTAGCATGCAGCAACATTCAGATTTAACAAATTCTGGAAAAATAAAATAATGCAAGATATTAAAGGCAATCTTAGACAGATTATGTTGGACGCAACTGGGTAAAATGTTCAAATTTAACACGAGTCAAGATCAAATGCCAGCATGTACTTACTCGAGTATTAGAAAAAACTTTTCCTTCTTCATCATCTTGTGGATTGACATGATTGAATTCACGAAGCACCTGTAGAATTACAGATGCCCATAACAATTAAAGACGGTTAACATTGGTAGCTTGTAGATTATTTGCTTGATTCCACAATTTAATAAGGTGATGTAAGAAAAGTTGTGAGAAGTCTTAGTTGCCAGTTTAAAATATGCACACTAAAAAATGAAACATTTGCCATTTGCAATAAGAGCTGCTCCTGAAACAGTCAAACAACACAACACCTTGAACCTGACGACAGAAAACTGTTCGAGAGATGTACATATACACCATGCTGCAGCAAAAATTCTAAGATTAAATCAAATATGGAAAATGTTCACCAAAGAGCAAGTCTTTTGGGCTGATAAGTAATATTATTGTCACATTTCTTTTACTAGGTTAGCAAACTGATTTAACAAAAAAGTAGACTACATGTTATGAGTATGACCAGTGAAATGATATCAATTCGATATTTATCAAAAAGTTACACTAGACACAAGGTGTAGAGAGTACGAGCAGAATAGATTGCCTTCTCATACTTGGCTTTAGCAAGTTCAAATTTTCCTTCTTTGAAGAGTCTGTTGCCCTGTAAATAAAGTATAAAATAAGTAACATCTGGAATCATTAACACAGGAGAAACTGCAATCTGCCAGCAAAATAGTGTAGCATAAAATTGCCCAATACTAGCCATTAGCCAAGACAAACAGAAAGGATAGGATACCGTGTTTCTAATTTTCTCAGCTTCATCCATTATGCTTTTGAAGTCCAAACCATCCCATTCCTGTGATAATGAGCAATACTTATTATATAACACCATTTGATACCAAAAGAAAACAAAATGGTGCACATCAACTTATTTTGCACAAACGTAATATGTTGTCTTGACAATATTTTGGTCAATTAATATGATGTTTTGGACTCATAAATTGAATTCTTTCTCCATTTGAAGTTAATAGCTTCATAAACCCAAGTAAAAGAAAAAGAAAAAAATCTAAGGATATGGGGCACTCGTATTAGTTTGTGTCATCCATTTTCATTAGACATACAAAGAACAGCATCAGACTAAACTACCGACTCTTGAACTATAATTCACAAATGAGGTTATTGCCTGGATCAATATCATCATAGAGATTAAAAACACAGAAATATATGCATGACCATCAATTCAAAGACGAGATGATGCAATAATTGTTTGAAATATACTGCAAAAAAAATTGTGATGTCACAAGGATGACTAAGAACACATGTGAAGAGTCTGATGCTAAACAGTAGCAATATGATCACTACTCGGAACTATCACCATTTTGGGCCATGTCTCCATGCACTAAAGATTTACTGAGAACAATTTCATTGATTTGCACCTGTGGCATCTCAAAACCAAGAAGTTCAATTTCCCATTGAACATGAGCACCTGCTGGAACATCATCTGGCCTAAGCACATAAAAACAAAGCACAAAAGAGGCAGTTATGCTTTAAAAGACTGAGAAAGAGGAAGAGGGGTGTAATGACAACAACAATATTCAAAGACTATATTGATTTGAATAAAAGAGTCGTACATCCTATCATTTTGGAAAACCAAGATACAATTAACTATTATGTTACTAAAAAGAAAAGGTTGAGTAGTAACCTTGGGAACTTGTCATATGCATAATCTGGAGGGCAGGTAACTAGGGCTATTTCTCCAGGCAGCATCAAACGGACAGACATTTCAAACCCCTCAGGCACCTATTACATAAGCATGGGTCACTAACTTGACTAGTTATTATCTTTAGCACATGCTCAAACAAGATCCCGGACATAATCAATTCAAGACTTGTTGGAATCCCCTCAAACGAACTACCCGAAG